GCTTGTTCAACTTTTACTACGACGCCCTGTTTAGCTGCATCAGCAAGTTTAACTTCCACTTGGACAAAAGGAATATCAGCCTAATGAACGACTGATTCGTCCCTTATAGAGACTTTACTGTCTTGTTTGAACACATCAAATTGTTGAAAGATTAATTTTGAAAATCAATGTAAACAATGATGGGTCTAGGTACTGTTGTTGTAACGATGTAACGACATCTCTTATGTTCATAAATTTGACTATTTCTTGTGAAAGTGATATTTCAGGACAGCATTGGTTTGTGAATAAGATTGTTGATTTCTGTGTATTTTGGAGACTAGTTGTTTGAATTTTTATGTTGATATTGGACTAGTAGTTGTTTGAATTTTTATGTTGATATTGGACTAGTAGTTGTTTGAATTTTTATGTTTAATATTGGACTAGTAGTTGTTTGAAATGTTACTGTTGCAGACTTGAAAATTTCCAATCAAGACTCAGTATGATTGCAAGAGCACTGATTACTTATTAGCTAGCAAGTCACTGATTAAAAAAAAAACTTATTATCAGATGTTATCTCTTCAGTCAACGGAGAGCTTTCGGTGCTTGACCGTTGGCTTTGCTTTTGACACCAACAACCATGACATTCCAGTCAATTTCTGGAAAGGGAGAGATCAATTCCAACCATAGCTCCATATTGCTTTTATCTGCAGATATGCAAATGGTTCCTCTAAGCAACTAGGTTGCATATTTATGGCTGATATCCGAACAAAGTGAAAATAGCATGGACTAGTCAGTTTTCGGATTGGTAATCGAAAAATAGTCAGCATTTGCATAGTCATTGAAAATAGCCATTGTTTTAGCTGAAACACGAAAAGTTCCAGCATAATATACTGGATTATGGACCCGCGAGCAAACCAAGCTTTAGTGTCTGAATCATTTGTGGTAGACCACAGTGGAACCTCATTAATATGCTATTAATTGACTACATAGCAAATGTATTAGCCTGGAGTAACATTGAGGAAGTAGTTATTCCTGTATTCATGGTAGAATCTCCGAACTGTTTTTTTTTAATATAAAAAAACTCATTATTTAATTGGAATCCGATGCGATTTCTGGTTCTTTGAACCAAAAAAAGCGCTGTAAATTTGTTCAGAAGACTCACTCCACAAGTATATTTATTTTTGCAATTTCTTGGATATACATAATAGTCAAGATGTTACCTTACTACAAATATTAGTAACTCTGTCTACCAGAAAATAGTAACATGAGAATACAAGGTTCTCTACAAAGTGAAACCATCGATATCGCCAACTGCTATTTACACAAAGAGTTGTGATGACCCCAATGAAAAAAACTGGAAAAGCCACTGAAAAGCTTATGTAGAATATCTCCATATCTATGAATCCATCTTCTCCTTCTTCTTCGTTTCCATCATTTGATTGAATCGGATGTTTCAATTGAGCATTGGTGCAATTGATATGCAATGGTGGTCCGCAAAGAAAAGGATTGCCCTCATAGCTGGTTTCGTCAAATGTACTGAACTGGCCTTTAAGCTCTGGGACAGAACCTGATAAATTGTTGTGTGCTACGCTGAAGACTGCCAATGAATGTAGCTCTAGTAACTCATGAGGAATTCTTCCACTCAACTTGTTGTAGGAGAGATCTATGCATCCTATTTCGTGCAAATTGGAGAATGTCTTTGGAATTGATCCAACGAGATTGTTATGCGAAAAGTTTAGTACTTGTATCTCACTTAAGTTACCAAGCTCAATAGGAACTTCACCACTTAAGCGATTTGAAGAAAGATCAATTCCAGACATGTAAAGTAAGGGGCCGCCTTCATAATTAAGGGAAGAGCTCTTTGTTGTAAACTCTACCTTCATTCTTACCGCATCAAACATAGTATATACACTCGTAAATGCTACACTTTGAAAAGCAAAACTTTCAAGTGCTGGTAAGCGAAATGTTTGTTGAGAATTCACCTCCTGACTTATGTTACTCAAGCAGCTAGGAATTGATTCCGTGAGCTGATTATGAGACAAGTCGAGCATTCTCAATCTTTGTAGATGACATAGGTGGTTTGGAATATCACCTTCAAATTTGTTGTTTTTAAGAAGAAGAATGTTGAGTACAGAAAGGTTGCCAATCCATTGTGGAATGCTTCCTACAATATTATTATCACTGAGATCCAAAGTGAGCAAAGCAGAGTTGTTAGTCGATCCATGGGTAAGGTTTCCACTCAGGTGATTCTTGTTGAGAAAAAGGTGTTCCAAGTGGCTGAAACAAGATGGAATCAATCCGGAGAACTGGTTCTCTGACAAGTCTAAGAACCTGAGACGATCAAGATTGCACAATTCCACGGGAATAGGACCTCGAAGATGATTATGAGACATGGCAAGTAGGACCAATCCTGACATCTGACCCATCCACTCCGGAATCATGCCAGACAAACTATTGTTGCTGATTTCGAGCACCGCCAAATTAGTGGAAGAAAGTGATTTCGGAATTTCACCTGTGAAGTTGTTTCCATTCAAATGCAAATATTGCAATGACGGTGGAATAACAACTTCTGTTGGTAATTCTCCTGAAAAGTGGTTGTTAGCCAAATCTAGTGCTTCAAGACCTTTCATTTGCCAAACGCTAGCAGGTATTTGTCCCTCGAGACAATTTCCGCTCATTTTCAAAAGTACAAGATTTGGAAACACTGAACTTATATTTGCTTGAAGTTGCCCACTTAATCGATTCTCTGATATACCGATATACTTGACACTAGGTTGGGCAAGTAAAGGAAGGCTGAAGGATCCAATGAAAGCATTACCACCCAGAGACAATCCTATCAGCTGCGTGTTATTTTGGAATAGCCAATTCGGGAAACTTCCTCTTAAATGGTTCAGTGAAAAATCAAGGAATGTCAACCGATTTTGGTAGTGAAGAAATCTAGGCAGCGTTTGAAGGTGAGTGCAATTCGACATGGAAAAGATTTCCAGTTGGAACATTGGAACCCAAGCACGACTTTCAGTTTCCGGAACACCGATATTTCCATCAGTATATACCTCTATAAGGCTAGAATGGTTAGCAAAGGCCTCAAAGGAAACTGGGACTTCCAAGTTGTTATTCAAAATGTTTAGAGATACGAGAGATGTGAGTTTAGAAAGTGGAGAAGATGCAATATTTCCAGTGAACCGATTGTTAGAGATATCGAGACTTAGAAGAAATGTTAAGTTTGCAAGACAAGAGGGAAGCATTCCATCAAAGTTATTACTACCGACTCTGAGCTCTTGGAGGTTTTTAAAATGGCACCAATCTGCAGAAGAGCAATCGACGAATATAAATCAAAGAAATATGAAATCAGACTACTTAAATTAATGCAGAGAACCATAATCAAGTGCGGGATTTTCTCTTGCAAATTTTATTAGTGAAATATCCAAATAGAAGAGTAAAGCTTAGATGATGAGAAAACTTGAAACCAACATACCGTAATCAAATGATCCAAAAGTATGTAAATGATTCCCGGATATATCCAGATACTTCAATCTGGTGAAATCATTTAAATCTGCTTAAATGAACAACGATGTCACTATATATTAACAACTACATTTGTACTTTACATAGCACAAAACATAT